TAATTATTTTAAGTATTATTTTAAAATATAAATTGATTAAAATCTGTAAAATGTGGAAAATTCGGGATAATCCCGAGGATAATCCCGAACTTGTGGAGGGAGGATTTATATCGACTCAATCCGTCCCTGGCTCAATATTCAAAACAACCACATTAGCGTTTTCATAAGAAACCAAGTTAGATTTCTGTGTATTGTAAGACAAACAACTCACACACATATCCCGTGACAATATGATAATACTTTAGACTTATTTTACTAACATTAAATTTAGTTCATTCTGTAACTAACCACCTTCGGAAGAACATTAAATCATTTTATATTTTTAAATTGTGTTTTTAAAAAAGACTGTCGGGGTCAGTCGCAATTTAAGTACCTACTAAATATTCTTTTTCGAAATAATTTCATATGAAAAATACATACAAAATTACTCCTACAAATAGTTGCAAATTTGGAATTAATCACGATAGTTTATGCTTGAAATAACCTTTTTTAAATATTTTCCTAGATCTATTTAGCAATAAAGTGGAAATTTATAACATAAGTATTCAAATACTATGTGTTTTGGGGTGAAAGAATATCCATTTCATTATAACTTCTATTATTTTTAATTTAAATTTTCGGACCATAACTGAGTCTAGAAAGGTATAAAGATTTACACAAAAACTTTTGGCTCGCGCCGCTTAGCGGCTTGCTTTGAGTCGGCCGTATTCGCCGTATTATCCGTATTGGCCGTATTATCAGTGACCTCATAGTTGCCGTAGACTATTATTTATTCTGTGACATAGATAATATTATGTCGGCACGTGTCGGTAAGTTCAGAAATAAATAACATTCTTAGAAATTTAATATTTCTTAAGTTATCTTATTAGAAACCCCATTTAAAGCAACCAAAAAAAATTTTTCATTATCATAATTGCCATGCCTCCGTGTACACCTATACGTCCCTGAAACGACCAACAGGGTTTTTGTTACATACTGTATATGCGGCGCGCGCGATAGACACCGAAGAAAAATCTAAGCTGCCAATTACTTATTTTTGATTAAGTTTTTTTCAATACTTAGAGCTACTAGTAATATCTCTATATAATAATGTTTTAGTTGTAACGCGCAGTTAATATAATAGGTTATATAATAGGACGAAAATAGAACGTAAAAATCATGCATATTCTCTGTCGCAGAAATACGACACGAGCGGTAGGGGCACGGAAACATATGTCACATTAATGCGACACAAGCGGTCAAAAGGTTAAATATCTGCAGTGACAAGTAAAAAATAATAAAATTTAATACAAATACTGGTTTAAATTTACGAAACATTTACATTTTTGACTACAAGATTTTTAAATGCTTGTTTAGTAAAGAAAGACAGAAAGACATGTCAAGATTGTTTGAATTTATTGAAATTACCTTGACCAACAGCATTGTCTATCTACGCTAACAGGAAATAAATACATATGAACGTGTTTATCTTAAGCAGAAACATTAAAAGAAAAAATAATGTTAAGATTGTATAAACCAAGTGTTGTGTTTTTAAATAGTCTCCTAATTATTTCAAAATTTTAAGGATAACATGATTTGTCTTTAGGTAAACATCAAGTACTTCATATGTTCCCAAACCCTTAAAACTCAAATCCCGATACATCCGTTTCTACTTCGGACTTACAAGGCCACATTTTTTTATTAACTGGCTTTACGGCTCTGGGTTCTAGCCCTTCTGAGCTTACCATTTCTTTCGGAATCTTCGTTTTTATATATTTTTTGCTTTTTTGCGTCACATTCCAAAGTTTTTGGGAGATTTGGACGACAGCTCAACCCATCGGACAGTTGATGACGACAGCCACTCAATTTCATAAAGCGCCCAAGTGATCAAAATAGCTTGAGGTTTATATGAACATCAAAGCACTTGTTTCGTCATTTTCTCTAATAGTTCACACGTGCAGACACTTAATTCACAAAATCAAAATCCACTTCAAACCATTATTCAAGCAACAAGACAGGAGCGACAATCCATCTACGGCCAAGTTTCTGCCAAAACTCCTACAAGGCCACAATTGTAGACCGCGCCAATAAGTATATATTCACAAGTTTACTCAGAACCATAGATAAGAGTGCTCAGAACGATTCTTTTTTAAATGTTATTTATAAGAATTATATAACTAAAATTTTATGAGAATTCGTTTCGTTACTATATTACGCTTCTAAAACTGAAGTATCCAACGAACTTACACTCCACCTGAAGATGATAAGTAGCTATTGCATACCATGGAACCTTGCAACTAAGTTGTAAGTTGTCACCTCTATGAACTGAGATGAAATGTCTTACAGCCTATATACAGGTACTAGGTAAGAGAGTGAATACCCAGACGATCTCACAGACAGAAATGAGTCTTACCATTTAGTTCACACATAAACTTAAAACATTGGTAATAAAGTCGCTGAAAGACACGCCGTTCTTAAAAAAATTATATGCATGTATATATATCTAAATTAAATGTTAATAACTAAAATCGAACTGCGATGGGAAACTAAAAAGTATATTAAACAAGACTACGATGTCAATTTTTTAGAATCCTTGAAAGATAATTAATTATTGTAAAAATGTTGTGAGTTCTCCTTAAAGATATTCTGCAATTTTGCGACATACTTTATTCTAATAATAATAAAATAAATTTCAATATGTAACTTTATATATTTTAATCAGAGACGGGCCAAATATTCGTTTCATATTCGGTATTTGGCATATTCGTTTCATATTCGGTATTCGGCATATTCAGGCGTTTTACCGAATATTCGGCTAAATCACTGAACATTCGTTTAAGTGGTACTCAGTGTCCACTATATGGAAATGTACTATTTGAGTAATGCCATGTCTTTCGTAATTTTACTGTTGAAAGTATATTTTGTTTATAGGCTAAATCTAGTTGAAATGTTATGTTACGCTGTAGATTTATTTCCAATTATAGCAAATAGAACGCTTGATATAGCAAATAGAAAGCTTGATAAAATATTTTTGGGATCAAACAAAGAAACATTACATTACATAAGTACATTTCACTTTACTGCCTCGTTGGTCTAGTGGTTGTAGTAGTGCGACTGCTGATCATGAAAAATCAAAAAATTAATTATTGAGTTTTTCCGTCAAGAAATTCTCAGTAGATGCCCGGAGTCAGGAAGTTGACAGTGTCTCAACTCCGTGCCTCGGAAAGCACGTAAAGCCTTTGGTCCTGCGCCTGATCTCTCTCCGGTCGTGTCGGTAAAGGTAAAAGTTATACAGAACTTTCGACCGAATATTCGTATTCGGTGAAATCCATATTCGTGAGAAATAAAGTAATCAGAAGTAACTAACTAAGAAAGAAGTAAATGTAGTTAATTTTCACCACAAACTAATAAGAAGTGCTAGCGCAATCTTCACTATAAATTATGTGAAAATATAAATTTTTATATTCTACAAGGTGTAATGTGCGAAAATTACGTTTTGTGTTGTAATTCCGATATATTGTGAATATTACGACAAAGTTCTTTTCAATAAAAACAGCATTGGTCAAAGATAGCGTAATAAAGTATATACCCATGATTGATTATTTATTTATTAGAGGTACCTACTGAGTGTACCTATATACTACGATATAATTATATTGTATATCTTTATTTTATTATTATAGTAATTTGAATTATGATTATTTTTGTATCGGTATTTTTGCATGTGTCCCGTTCCTACTGTCGGATTTTGCCGCCTTGGGCGTTGGACATCAATATATATTTTTTTAAATAATATTCGTTATTCATCTAACTTACACGTGCCTTGTTACTGTGTAATAAGGTGCGGTACGGTCTACTGAAATGGTACACGGACTGATCGGCTAGGTCAGGTGAAATTCGTTTATTTTAAAAATAATAATTAGAATGGTATTTATAACATAAATTACGTTCGTAGCTTAGGTGAGCAAGGTAACAAAAAATCGATGACTGGAATAAAACCTAATAGTAAATCTAAAATGCATATTTAAGGTCATGTTACAAGTCGTTCTAATGTTCCAAGCAGTTATCCAACGTAAAAAAGTCACGATGATTTTTCACTGTTACTTTTTTGGATCAGGGTTTTAAAAAATTACACTTTTCACCAAGTATAGTCGCCTCTTACGACATCCACGGGATAATAGGGATATTCATACACCGCCACAACACGGTAATGGATAATTTCTCAAACATGATAATGACTCGAAGTTATATTTTCCTTCATTTAAAAAAATATTGTTATTGGCCTAACCTACTACGACGTGAATTATATGCAAAGCAATATTATGTTTTATATATATTTTAATGACATTTATTTCATTTTAGCAAATGATCTAAACCATAGATAAACCATAGGTAAATAAACCTTAACCAGTAGACAGAGAATAAACCAGCTGAGTAAAGTTCATGTTTTTTTTCTAGTTTGGCAACTACCAATGGATTCTGCCGGCACCAAGATTTCATGAAAGTCACAGTATATAATATAGACTACGAAGTAGGGATGCATCGATGATACTCGAGGTTTGCCGATATATCGGCATGGGCGACATTTTTATGGCCGATACAACGATAATCTTCAAATGTCGCGCTTTAAAAATAAGTAAACTCGTCCAACTCGTTGCAAACGAGGCACGAACTAACTAAGCTTGGGGAAACCCCGCGCTTTATTCAGTGTATTGCTTTGTCCGCCTGCTTTGACCTCACACTCTCTTAACTATCCCATTTCGCTAGTTTGACTGATGTCGTGCTTAGTATTTTTTCATGCAAATAAAATTAAGAATTACATATTGTAATTAGTTTGTGTGTGCATATTATAAATATTAATTTAAAAGCAATATATTTGTATTGTAAAGAAAACGTTTCACGTGGCATAAATTGTAAAAATTATAGCTTATAACAAATCAAACTTGTGGATTCACTTGAAGATGCACCATCCGAGTGAATTATACATCGTTTCAACTTCGGAAACGACTACCCAGAAAACAATGTGTGACGACGAAAATGGCCCGCAACGTAAGAAACAAGCAACTTTGGAGGAGATTTTTGATAAGAAATCACTTAATAGTGACGACAATATTTGGGCGGAAGATATAACTCGCACTATTGCAGAGGAAACATGTGTACACATGGAGCTGTTTGATCTCGTGAATAAAGTATGTTTCCATAGATTATTAAAAAAGCTTAGCAAAATTTCAATACAAAAATTACTGCCTTGAGGCTATGCCATTCGATGGAGCTCAGCATTTAGATATCAATTTCGAGCACTTGTTACCGACAACGCAAAGGCGCAGATCCGTTCGTTTTCTGACGCTATGACGTATTATACCCAACTTTGAAAAAAATGGCGGAGGACTACTTTAGTTTCGGAATAAGTTCTGTCGCTACTGTGAGACTATTTCCATCGCAGGTCTTATTCAAACAGATTTGCGAAATCGCCTTTCTCCCCAAAACTTAAGAATATTTTGTTCTTAAATAAATATCTTATCAATGTTAATTTTAATTACTAAAACTATTAACTAATCTCAACTTATCTGTAATTTAAATGGTTTAGTTTTTAAAGCTATTTGTTCTTTTTATATTAATAAAAAAATAACCCGAATTGTGTTTTATTAATTTTGACTTCATTTTTGAATTCGATAAGCGTATCGGTATTGTATCGGCAAAAAGGTGTATCGAGGCATTCATACTACGATGTCTCTATATCCATAGATAGGTTTACTTAGTTCTATCTTACGATCTTAAAAGTTATTTTCCGATGAATTAAAACATTATAGTATTTCAAAATTTCTGCATGTATAATAAAATCTACATCTCGTTGTAAAATGTACTATAGCTTAAATGTTATTAATAGATAGTACCCGGATGACCGAGCCTTGCTCGGTTTTCTTTTTGAAATTACATTTAGATACAAATTACATACTGATGAATAATATTTTTTGATCTTGACATAATAGAAAAAACTGGTTATTTGAATGAAAAATCATGAGTGCAATTAGTTTAATTAAAATTTTCGTATTTTTAAAAAATATTAAAAAAAGCGCTTGCAATAATAGATATTCTCACAAAAGAAGGGAACTTGAAAAAAAAGGGAAAACATTTTCCCATCAGTTTGTTTAATTTTACTTACCTCTGTTTTTTTTTTGTTTTACCGTGCGATTTCATAACTTTGAAACTAATTTTACATTTCGCTGAATTTTGATCAACTTTTCTAAAATATTTTCAAACATCACTTTGTCCTTTGCCAGTAGGTGGCATTCTATAGAAGCAAATCAAGCAGAGCACCGGAGTCAACAGTAAAAACCAATAAAATTCACTTTTATGAACTTTTTCGTTACAACGATGAACACCAATCAGCCAATATTGCCATTAAGTAATAACAAATATTGATAAATTTCCGAACATAAATAGTCTTCTACTCTAATTATTTGTGACTGACAGGTAGACTTTACTTAAACAACATAAATACACAAATGAAACACATTTAAATCCAAATATTTTTCGTTATGATTCCATTCTTTATAATATTCATTCATCAAAATTACGAGATATTGCTAGTAAATGTATAAAATGTGTTTACCTGGTCACACATGTACTATTCCAACTATAATAGTGTTCTTCCCCGAAATCCTTACTCCATCGAGGTAGAGGACGCTATACACCGGAAAAGGAAGTACTATCTACCGACTTATCTGACAGTTTAGTAAAGAGACAAAAGTATCGAGTAACTAAGAAAGCATCGATACTTAGTAAAATACTAATAAAAGTATCGAGTACAACAATACTAGGTATCGAACTAAAAGTATTGATACTACTCAGGTATCGATACTTTTTGCGGATCCCTAGCTTCCAGTACATAGTCTTGTGCCTGCGCAGTCATTTTAAAGGTCGCTTCGTCCTAGTTCATTTCGGACAGTGCACTAGTTTGTTCTATTAGCTATATTAGGCCATCAGTACCAACCTGTTTAAATTGTATGTATCTGTGTGAAATAGTCAGTCAGTAACTAACTGTATTAGAGAGGCATTCGTTGGCTCTTGTCTACGCTAGTATTTCTTATTAGTTTGTGCTCTTGTCCTTAATTGACTACTGACCGATTCTCGAGTTACGTTTACATTTGGTATTGCCGTCTTGCGAATGTAGGTGTAAGAAGCTGTTAGACCGATTAACAATTAGCATTTGGAAACGTTTCTTTTAGTATAGTGCCAAGATACGTTTTCTAATCGTTCATCGTTCGCGAACTACACAAGACTGCATGAGTCCCTGTTAGTTACTGGCTGTTAATGGAGTGATTTTCGTGGGACTGATTTAGTGTAGTGTAATAAAAATCTGTGAATGCAGTCATAAATGAGATACGAATTATCGTGCTTTTGCTCTGCTATAAACAGTGAACATTTTTATGGTTAGGCATACGTGCACTGGAGTGCTTTTCGTGGGACTGATTTAGTGTAGTGTAATAAAAATCTGTGAATGCAGTTAAATAAAATACGAATTATCGTGTTTTTGCTCTGTTATAAACATTGAACATTCTTATGGTATTATTTCAGCCAAGCGGCCGTGCGAAACTGAAGAATCAAGTTTTCATACAACAATTTTGTACAATGTTGGCTTACAACAATTAAATTTCTGTAGAATATAAACTCTTCTTCTGTGTTAAATATTGTTAAATTTTATGATTTTAAGCCTACGAGGTTCAAATACTTGGCTAACCTACGTTTGGTGTCCCATAAGTTTCAAAGCGCAATTATGGATTCAAAAGTTGTTTTAAAGAACAAAAATCCCCATGATAAAGCTAATATTTTCTCGAAAATATTTTTATGGTAAGTAAAATAATATTCATTATTAGATAAATATCTGTTAGTTTTCATCAATATCAACGAAAAATTGAGTTTTATTGTATTAGGATTTCGCGCAAGTGCAGGTAATTGAATTAATTTAAGAAAAAAAATAAAAGTCTTCAATAATTTTTAGATCGGGTTGTAATTTATAAGCGATCACTGAAAACTGGAAGTAAAAAAAATACAAAAAAATAATAATATCGTGTTACAATGTTACATCACTAAAAATAAACGGTTGAAATTTAGAATTCTTTGGCAAGAGGGGGGGGGCAAGGGATGAGGGGAGAGGAGGGGGTGAATGTCCCCTTACCCCGACACCACTCCCATTAAAAGGTAATTCACCGTTCTAGAGAAAAACCAAAAACCTCAAAATATAACATTATCTCCGGCAGGTGGGGGGAAGAGGGGAGTAGAAGTAAGAGCCCTATCAGGGAAAGCCCGTCTACCCTTCCCTCCTTGTGGAAAGGTGTAGTTTAAACAGTAATGGTTTTTTGTAAAATCATAACCTAACTTTTTTATAAAGGAATATTGACCCCAAGTTACTACTGTCAGATATCTTACGAGTATCTATAATATATATATATATATATATATATATATATATATATATATTAATATTGTTATATTTTATATGATTATAATGTACGCGGCTTTAGGGTGGCCAAAGAGCCACACCAGCCGCAGCTTGAACTTACTGTCAATTTTTTTATAGAATTAGGTTGACAAATGAGCACACAGTCCGCCTGATGGCCTGTGGCCCAGAGACATCTACATTTAACCTCGATTAAGAATCAAAATGCAAATGCGTTGTCACCCTTCACGACCATGAATGGAATGAATCGTTTCCAGTAAAACGGGTCTCCGGTTCTCTACACCATACGTAACACAGCAGCATTAAGCTTATATTTTAATGCTAAAATTAATATGAACAACAATACAACAGGAACTGAAGATCCAAGTCAAAGTCGATCTTGCTGATCAAGTAAGTATTTTGCAGATTGTATTAGGCAAACTCATATTATTGTAAGCTGCCTAATTATGATTAAATTACTGAACATAATCCATTGATATACTAAAAATCCATCAATCCATCAATGCAAGGATATTTAAAGCCGAATAATTAAAGCGTGGTTGGTTCAGGACATTTTTTGACTAAGTTAGCAAATGTTACAGCATAAGGCATAAAATGTCTTCTTAAAACGGCTATTTCTCGTGTACCTAAATATTATGATAATTATAATTTTTGAGTTTTAACCTAATTAGTTATTTAGTCTCGAAATACGTATTGTTGTTCTACCAATACTTTACAATTTTTGACATAAAATGTAAATAAATGATTTTTACTGTTAATATTTGTTTCATCTACTCAAAGACATATTTACGACTAGATACAAGTGCAAATATGTGTATAGAACATATTTATATAAATTTTAGAATTGTAATACTAAGTCAATTTATAAAAAAAAATATTCGCCTACATTTAACGCCTTGTCCTACAAGCAAACTTCGGTCATAATATTTTATTGCTGTTTGGACACGCTTTGTAAAAACACTTTGAGTCAGGCGCGTAAGGCTGAAGTTGCAAAAAATATGATATATTATAACTATAACAACTTTGTATAATTGGGGACAGATTTGAGTATTACTTTCGTTCGAGACTGTGCATCATAAGTTTTTTATATGTCAATGACATTATCAAGATTACACGAAACAAGAATTGCTGAATGTTTTTCTTTATTGCAAACAGAATTTTCTAATGCTAACCAAAATGATTGAAATGCTGCTTTTTAGTGACTAACCAAATTTTATTACGGCTTAACATTTAATTACTTCTAGTTTTAAATTAATTCTGGTTTGGTTGCATTAACTAAATTTTTAATAAAAAAAATTTTGATTATGCAACCAATTTTTAAAAAAAAACTTTTAATAAAAAAACATACGTAAATACGGTACACAATTGACGAACATATCGAGTAATATAGGTGTAAGTGTGTACGGGGCTGATAACCCACCTATATACATTCGTACACCTACCTATATACATTCGTAAGTTCCGTATGGAAACGGAATGCGCTCAGTTTGCTTCGCACGACCATGTAATTATATTATGTGTTTCTCTTTTCGTAACCTTTCATCTTATTTTGTTTAATAATTACTTGAAAGCGTTTACATGCATCGATAATTTAAAAAAAACTGTAATCTTTGGGTGATAAGGGTATGCAACCAATAACAATGATATGGCAACAATGTAATCGCAAGCAGAAAATGTTCGTCATTATTCGGTGGCAGTAGGGGAGACCGGGTACAATAGTAAAATTTTGTACTTTTAGCTTGGTTTCCGGTTAGGTGTAATTATTAATGAAATTAATATAGCCATATATACATTCCGATCATGTTCTTACATTAGTATCTTGGTTCACCTTTTTCTTGTGTATTTTATATGAATCACAGAGACCTAATAAAAATTCGTCAGTTGTTACTTTCGAACGCCTACGTGGTGGGTCGAAAGTAACAGGATAAAGGGATTATGGCGCGATAAGTTTCATTCCGAAATCCGAATTCACTCCGGACTTTATGCAGTGCACTTACCTACTTAAATATAAAATTTATTAACTTGTCCACACCTATTGGGTTAAATTTTTAGAATTTCCTTCTTCTATTAAATTTACACATATTGTCTTGTGATTAAAATGTGATTTATGGCATGTAATGTGTATCGACGATTAGCACTGCTTCAGGTCCTGTTTAATAATTGTCAGCACTGTCTTAGTAAAAGCTTTTTTACGTGTTAGTATTTTTTCCTTAAGGGGCACGGCCCTGTCTTGTGTGGCCTCCTGTCTGGTGTGGGCCCTGACTGTACGGGGTCGCCCCAAACATTGGACATTGGTTGAGATGGTGGTGACATCGTGATGATGGTGACAATAATAATAATAATAATAATAATAATCTTTATTTGCAAGAATATGGTTGTACAATGGTGTTTGAGTATAATTCGTTCTACATATTCTACCTTAGTGGTGTGCAAATATTAATGGTCAAGTAACTTAAACAACAATACTTATCAAATTTAACAACATATATTAATTTAACAAAATATAAAATTATTTAATATTATTTACTTGATTTGATAATTTATTTATTATGCCACAGTGTCAGAAAAAATATAAGTATTATTATATCAAGTAAGATTATTATTATAGGTCAAAATTAATTATTATTCTTACGTCAATAATTATATAATGTTATAGAATAAAGTAAACTTGATTAAATGTCTAAAATCTATTTAATATATAATAAAATAATATTTTAGGTTTAAAAATAAAATCTTTAAACCTAAAATAAAGTACGTATGTACAAATGTAACATTTAAAAGTTTCTTTTGCATTTAACCTAGCTCGTCTATGAGTACAAAATATATAAACCAATAAAAACTCTTTAACTTAAACCTTAGTAACTAAAAACCTGAATAACTCAAATTATTTAACGTTTCTCTTGGTCTTTATCTTATCGAGGTTCTACTGTACTTTGTATAATTGGAGACTGATTTGAGTCACGTGAGTATAGAAACGGCCAGAAGGGAAGCTGCATACAAACGGCTCGTTGTGACTATACACATACATAGCGCAACGATGTGTGTGTGAACTTTCACCGACAGGTTCACCGACGCTCCGTCGGGGTACAAACCGGTTTGCGCCGGCTCAGGAAGAGTTGGTCAGAGTATTCATGAAAGGGTAGTTAGTCGTGCGCCTTTAAATCAACAGTATAGATTTATATTATAAATAATTAATTAGTGTTCTGTATAAAAGTTCGAGAGAAAATAATTAGAGATGGGCCGAATATTCGTTTTATATTCGATATTCGGCATATTCGACAGCTTTACCGAATATTCGTATTCGCGATTGTTGATTCGGATTCGTGTTGGCGATTTAGACGAATATTCGGCCGAATATTCGTCTAAATCGCCAAACATTCGCTTTCATAGTGTCCAATGTATTGAAATGTACGAATTGGGTAATGCGATGTCTTTTACTGTTGAAAGTATATTTTATTTATGGGTTAAATCTACTTACTCTAGAGTACCTCAAATGCATAAATCTATACATTTATGTTTTTGAGGCACTGTAGATTTGTTTCCGATTATAGCAAATAGAAAATTGATAAAATGTTTTTGGAATCAAACAAAGAAACATTACATTACATTAATTAGTACATTTCACTTTACTTTGGTCGTCAGTTTCTCTAAAATAAGTCCAAATAGTAGATCTCCTGCCGCTCATTTATATTATTTATCAATTTTCACTAAGAATAAAACAACAAAATACTTTTTTTATCACAAGAATAGCCAAAACTTAGGCATGTGCCGGCAATTTGCTCAGTACTAGATGATGCAATAATTGTCAGGTGTGGCGGGGGGCGAGAGGCAGGGTCCGGCGCTAATCCCGCGCGCTTTACGATAACAAGTTTCGACATAAATTGGTTGCGTCCCCAGGTTATCCTGCCGAATAATGTTCGGCCGAATATTCGGTTCGGTAAAAGTTTTACCGCACTGAATACTAATCTATCTAATACCTGGGCTTGGTGAAGGGCTGTAATGATGATTATCATGATTTAGTAAATCAAAACTATTTACTCATTTCGCATTTCGTTTAGAATCTTAATAGCTTTAGCTTTAGAGGCTGGTTTACCAAAAACAAAAAGGTCTATATCACTGAGGATCTCATTGCATATCCTGACCAAGCAGTTTATGGGCGCATTACGTGCATAATTGGTGACAGCTAACGGCACATGCGATAAAGGGGGAGGCCGACTAGGCCGATGTTATGTTTGGCACCAACTCAGGACAGTCTGCTTCCAGTTCCAGACAGTCCACGGACAATATCATACAAGACATATACGTCCATTAATTTACGCCTGTTTTCGAGTATTAATAAATTATAGGATTGACAAATATTTTCATAGGTTATCAATGGTAATTTAAGAAA